GAATATAGTGATAAGCGCGACCTCCACTCTTAGCTTTCATTTGCCCTCTTTACTTCCATACACAGTACTAACTTAAGCATCGGAGTATTCCCACCGGGCAAGCCCCCGGGAATCCTTCCTTTCATCTTCTCAGGTGCCGCTCGTCGCCAGCAAGGAGCCTGTCAGCCGCCAGCTAGGAGTGACCGGATCGCGCCGCATCACTTTCTTTCCCTCTTCTCTCTTCTTTCTTTTCTTTTCTCTTATCTCTGCTACTGTGAAGAAGTCCTAGAACTGATCATAGACAACAGAAAGGTCTGTGTCTAGGGTTTATCTTGGGTGTAGGGTCCTAGGCGAAGTTTTTTCCCTGCAGTTTATGCCCTACTAGTGGTTCTGCAGCAGTTAGTAGCCATTCGGCACAGATCTAGGAAGGACTGAGTGAACAGTCCTAGTTGTTGTCTGGGAGTTAGAACAGATCGCAGGGGTGGTCACAACCCAGGTTTGACTTCCAGAAGTGTTTTTTTATTTTTTTACCATAGAAGTTGCTCTCAGCCCAGAACTGGTTACAGAGAGTGCTTCAGTCCAGTTACAGAGGGTGTTTTCAGCCTAGTAACAGCTCTGGTAAGTCTGAAATCTTGTTCCTCTCATTGAGATTACAGCTGTGGTTGCTGTAAGAAGAAGAATATGTTTTCAATATCAAGAGAAGTGACCTCTAAGTACAATAGGACTGGTGGGAGGTCTTCAAACTTGGAAAACCCAAATATGCATAGCTTGCAGATCACCGGTGTGTTGTTAGATGAATACAACTTCAGAGAATGGTCTGTTTCAGCCAAGCTTTTCATTACTTCCAGGAACTTATGGGTTATCTAGATGGACAGAAACAGGAACCTAAAGAAGATAATGCTAGCTATTCAACCTGGCATAAGGAGAATGCTATTGTTATGTCCTGGCTGCTTGCCTCAACGACTCCAATAGTAGCTAGGACTGTTCAGCACTTCCCTATAGCCTCTAAGATTTGAGAGAAAGTGTCTAAAACCTATGGACAGCGGAAAAACAATGCAATAATTTATAGGCTAACCCAAGATATTGTTGCATTGAGACAAGGGGATATATCTGTTGCAACTTACTTTGCAACTTTAGAAGAACTATGGACAGAACTAGACCACCACCTTGTACTTGATTGGGAAAATACAAGAGATAAGGAGAGGCATGATAAACAAATTGAAGAAGGCAGAGATTTTAAGTTCTTGGCTGGCCTAGACCTGACGTATGAGAGCATAAGATCCCAAATTTTGAGAAGGGATGAACTTCTCAATTTACATCATGTCTACTATCTTGTAAGGAATGAAGAGGTTAGAAGGAAAGAGATGCAAGTTGACATCCAAGTTCAGCCTGTTGAGCATTCAGCCTTGATTTCTTCAACCCAAAAAGGGGGCAAGCATTTAGACAAGAGGCATCTCAAATGCTCTCATTGTGGAGGTGACAGACATTTGAAAGAGACATGCTGAATTCTTTATCCTCACCTAAAACCAGCTGCTTTAAGGAAAGACAAGAAGCCTCAGAAGAGTCAAACAACAAGTGGAAATGTTGTCATAAGTAATAATGGTGAAAGCCCAAAGAACACACCTACAGTTGCACCATCTCTAATGGGACAGATCACTAATTCCTACACATCAGGGTCCTTTTATTTCACTGCTGATGAGGTAGAAATCCTTAGTCGAGCCATGGCTTGTCTAAGGAACAATTCCCTTGCTTCCACCTCTCTTGCCAAATCAGGTATTGTCTCTACTCACAGTGTGACTAGTCCTATAGTGTCTAATTCTTGGATTATTGATTCCAATGCTACTGACCACATGACACACATGTCTTCTTTATTTTCTTTTTATCATTTAATGTCTAGTCAAGATAAGATGAGAGTTGCTGATGGTTCCCTCTCCACCATCTCTGGGAAAGGG